CAACTGCATATGGGGTTTACGTCTATTTTTTAATTATTGAAGGTGAACTTTGATGTTTTTGAGGTCTGTGTTTGCCCTGCTCCTAATCTGTATTGTGTATATGGACTTTGGAGCTTGAATTCTCTTCGTTAGTTATCTTTATATTTCATGTACAATTGTCAAATCCTAAATGAATTGTCCATGAGTTTGAGGGATGAGTAAAACACAGAATGCTAAAATTTCAACTTGTTAACAGAATTTCTTTAGCATCAAAATTCTATCCTAACTTTAATTTTTCCTCAAAGCACGAAAAAAGATTATAATTTTAAGTATTCATTGTTAGATTATTCTCACCGTAGATTAATAAGTTGCTAACACAAGAATATCAGCAGTCTCGTTTAAAACATTTCGGTCATTTTTAAGAATAAATAATATCTAGACCAACTTATATGATCATGCATATGACAGTAAAACATTAACTGGGAACAATAGAGACATATGATTATGTACCTTCATTATTTGAAGAATGTTTTAGAGTTGTCACCATAGTTGATTTTGATTGTATATCCGAAAACTCTAAAAGATAAAAAATAATAAATGCCTCAACTCAATTATTTAGAACTAAAAAGAAGTTCTCCCTATTTTTTTTTAAATACGGGTCTCTCTACTTACAAATTAACCCAAAATTATATTGAATCATAAAATTCATATCATGATCACAAAAACTCATCTATTAAAACGTTTATTTTTTTTTTTTTGGATACTTAATATTTCAATTAATATATCTTCATTTAAAGTCATAAAGTACATACATGGTGTAACATGAAAATGCAGTAAAATCAAGTTTATTGTTTTAAAACATCGACGATCAATGAATGTATTCCTCTTGAATCAACATTGTTTGCTGGGGACAAATGGTTGGATATCAGGGCCTAACCAACGAATTTACATATTCAATTTTAATTTTGTCATAGTTTTTATGCATCAAATCCTTCAAGAATTCTCCAACAAAATTACGATCCCTCATTAATTAGAAAATTATGCCAGTGGACGTTGAGAACAACAATTTGAATTAATTTTAGAGAAAATTCTTTAATGAATACTTAGTCGAATTATAACTCAACGTTCTTGATTCTTCCGTATCAAGGATTCAACCTCAAATTTACGATCTCTTATGGCGTCTCAACATCAGTGAAAAATTCTCAATAGGAACTTCCAACAAACAGTCTTCCATGAACCAGTAAAATTAAGAGTGTCGAAGAACAGTTAACACAAGAAAGTAAAATGTTTTCAAAGTATCACTTTTTTCAAAGTTTCTCAATACAATCTTGGAATTATTGTATGTATTGCTATGAAATACTAATATTCGAAGGAAAGATAATTTTGTTGATTTTGCATGGAGAAGAAAGGCTTGATAATTCCTTAAATCTTTTCTACTACAAAATTTTATTAAAAATAAAATTCGTTTATTATACTTTTTAAAGAAATTCTAATTATAAAAAAGATTCGTCCTATTTAAAAAAAAAAAACTCTTACCAACACACACATATAGTTTTGTTATCGAAAGCTTGCCCAAATGTCGATGTTTTATTTTTATTAAAAAATTTAAGTTGATTGATTTATTGAAGGAAACTGTAAAAAATGTTAGTATATTTTGTAGATTAACAGTCCGGAATATTTGTATTTTAAGTATTGTGGACCACATATAAATTAAATCTATGCAGAATTAATAAATAAACTGCAACTATTACTGTATAAAATTTAGTTACATGAAAAGGAAAATAATCATGGAACAATAGTGTTCCTGGAAATAAATATGTCATTTCCCATTTATTTAATAATCAGGAACTTAGCATTAAATAAGTACATGACCCCAATGTGGTAAAATTATATACTAAACAAGAGCCACTATAAAAAATATTTACAGGAATCAAATTGTTTCGTGCGTTAAACTAGCTTCATATTAACTATTAATAACCATCTTTATTTATATAACTGAAGAAACAATAGATCTAATTTTAATTAAATTCGCTCCTAGAAATTTACTTGAACCTATCTGGACTTAGCTACATGTAGACCAAATTTGAAACAACAAGGGCATTTTCGGTATTTATATTTTAGGTATGAGGTGCTGTTTAAAAATCATTTTTATTTGTATGATTGAAGAAACAATAGATCTAATTTTAATTAAATTCGCTCCTAGAAATTTACTTGAACCTATCTGGACAGTGGACACAGCTACATGTAGACCAAATTTGAAACAACAAGGGCATTTTCGGTATTTATATTTTAAGCATGAGGTGCTGTTTAAAAAAATGAAAACTTCTGTCATTTTATATACAATAAAGAGAAACTATCAATCTTTTAAAAAAATCTTAACGATATCCAAAGAAGTCAAGAGATTTTACTAAAAATTGATTTCGATATACCTGAGGTTCATATAAACGTAAATATTTTTTGTCACCCAAATTGTCCATTACTTTAGTAACTTTGATTTCATTCCATGTTCTTTTTCAATAATATAAAATGTAAATTTGTCAACATGTAACAACCAGTTTTGTTCTCAAATGAGTTCATATGCAATTAGAAAACAGAATCACTTATTTTTGTGAGAAAGGTCATTTATTCAAATTAATTACCACAAATATATATGATCAGATGATGCAAGTATTGTCAAACATTGTTTTAACAAAAAATGACTAAAAAAATGACAATAGATATGCAAAGGTATGGTTAAAAAACCGTCAAGACCGGAAGAGTAAATTTGAGGGATCCTATCCATAATTTTGCCTAGCCACAAACCAGCAATTTTGCTTAATCCCAAAACAGATTTCAAAAGAACAAAACCAAACACCTTTTTTTTATCAAAAAGATTTTTGAACTGTGTTTGTGATGGTTATCTTGCATTATCTTTGTTTATATTTCAATGCAGGTACGTGTATACGTGTTTCTGTGTTTGTTTGCATACTGCTCCGACCTGCTGACCTGTGCAGCTTTTATTAGTTTCTTTTACTTTAATGTATAGAAGAATATATATATATATATATATATATATATATATATATATATATATATATATATATATATATATATATATATATATATATATATATATATATATATATATATGTATAAAAGAAGTATTACTGTAATGTTTTCGCTACCGAGTGCTGTAAAGCCTACACTGATAGCGACTGATGATGAATGAAAAGTGACTTAGACGCTTTACATAGGGGCGGACACATTCCTTTTTTACGAATCGTGTTCGGCTTTTAATTGCATAAAACCCCCAAAAGATACAGAGAGATAACATGTTTGTCCGGTAAAATGTGTGAAAACTATTCAATACTGTCTTTAAAATTTAAAAAGTACAAAATTTTTAGCCAAATGCACTTCTTTTAAAACGGTTATCCACATGTTTACCAGACAAACCTCGTGTGATCACATTTTAAAATTTAATATCGGATGTGATCTGACTATATAACGTCGCTAAAAATATGTATTTTCCGTTATATTTAAGGGCAGACAGCATGGTTAATATTTGTCTAGGTCTAACCATAGAATTTTCAGTGTTTGCTCCAGAATAATATTCACATTTTTCATTGATTGTAATTTTTCTTATGCAGAATTTGGCTTGGCAATGAATAAAAATATTCCTGTAACATGTACTATATTGAAAAGTAAAATTTACGCCATCTTCTTGACGTCATATCTTACATACGTGATGTATGGCTAATAAAAATAAGTTATCTTGTAGATTATGCAGGTATCCCGCTGGTTAAGAACATAAAGAAAGTACTCTCCATCAAAGTTGTTTAATTTTCGTGGCAGATTTTTGTCATTACAGTATTTATATATTGTCAATGAAAAACTCGAACATTTATCGAATACCAGCTTCAGAGAACGTGTGTTTAATCAGAATGGTTTTAACAAAGTAAATGTTAGATGACAAATGACTTTTTATGTACAATATATGATCCTACCCTGACCCAACTGATAGGTCTTTTTATATTGAATTTGAGTACGGAAAATTCCAGCTTCCTGATCAATACATTAGGCTCATGGCCGGTGTGTTCAATCAACAGGGGATGCTTTCTCCTCCAAGGCTGCTAATTCCTATTCTCAATTTTTTGAGGAATTTTTAGTGCTTCCTGTATATTCACAGATTTGTATTGTGTCTAAAATTTAAAGGTCGATCACTTTTCGTTATCTTTGCCTTCTTTTTGAGATCGTTTTGACCAGAGGATACACAAAACTTTTCTGGGGCTTTCAAACCCTATCTGAACCACCATGACTCTATATGTGATTTTCTCAAGATTTACATATTTCCATATTAAAATATGATAATAACAAAATCGGCAAATCTAGCAGTAATTCATAAAATTCTTACTACAGAATTATTCTGTATAAAAAATTTTGACCATCTATACATGTATAAAGTTTATTATTCAGTTGATGGTTGTTTATTTTTAAAAATACATAGCTTGTCTAGTTTAGTTTTCTAAAAATTATGTCGTTTTGAGTGTCAAGTTTAATGCTGATGAACATATAACAAGGAAATAAAATTCAACATATTAAATACAGACAAAAATAGTCTTAATATCTATCCAGTTTCATTTGTAAAGAACAATTGTTTTAAGAGACACAGCTAATGATTTTTCAATTAAAAAATAAGTTTATTCATTAGACACTTTTTGAATGGTGCATGTGGGGTTGATTGTCATATGATTATAAAATTTCAAGTGTTTGGAATTCGTGTCAATTGGTAAATATGCACATTGATTAGGTCCTTTGTATGATCAAGAACCTTATAAAAATTAGGGAAAACAGCCCGGTGTGACTATCATCGTATACACGTACTTTGAAAAGGAATAACGTTTCCCACGCTACATATACTGGATACATGTAAGTATTACGACTGTTTCATTAAATATGAAAACATAAACTTTTAACAGATAAAATTAAAACTGACAAATGTTTGTAAGTAATTCCATAGAGACATTACTCCGATGAATATAGATAGACCAGGAAATCTAAACATAAAGTTTTAATTCGTCATTAACCTTGAAGTCTGACTTGCAGTTTAAATTTTAAGCAGAAAGTCAAATGGCCTACTAAATAAACGGTGACGTAACTGTGCCAAGAAAAGTCACTGTCATCTCTTATACATTATTATCTCTTTATCAAATGTAGATTTAAATTTCACACTTTTTACTTAAAAAAATCAATCGAAAGAAAATTCTAGAGGTCACTACTGAATATTTCTTTCTGCAGAGAATACACGTTACTTCTGTTTTTCTTTTCTTCTTCTTCCTTCTTTTCCTCCTCCACTTTCTTGGAATGCTCAGCTTCAGACACACGCTTGGTATCCTTAGCCTCGTTCGTTTTAGATCTACGGGCGACAATTTCGATTTCATCGTACTCTTCTATATGGTTTCCAAAGACTTTGCCTTGTGAAGACTTTTTCCTGTTTGGATCTTCCTCGTCAATAGCGATTTCGGCATAGTTACGAAGGAACGGTAAAAGAGTATGTAAAGACAAGAGATAGCTCTGAATAACATGATGGTCTTTTCTGTAAAAAAAAAAAAAATCATTGATTAAGAATCAGCGACTTGAATCTTTTCTGTAAGTGAATATACGTAATTGTTATTGGAGGAAACTTATTTCAATCTATATTTTTTAAATATAAAAAGTGTCATCTTTACTCCGGATCAAGATGCTGACAGAATATACAATGATATTGTTTACAATATAAACCAAAATAGGAAGAAGGAAACAGTTATAAAAAGACGCGTGAGTAAAATTTAGAATGCATTAAAGCATCAAACATCCAAGTTACGGATACAACCATTTTGTTTCTTCCGAAATACAACCAATTTTGCTAAGACGATGACGTCATGTGACCTATATTGTCCCGATTTATGTAACATTCGCATAGTGAAATCTTTATTTTACCGTTATCGGTTTAACTAAGAATGCTTTGAACAAACATAATGTATAAGAGTATCAATAAACTGAGGGGAAAAAATCAAATGAAGCAATTACCTTCTTTGTATGACTGATATCAGATTGACAATAAAAAGAAGAAAAAGCATTCCTACTCCTACAAGGATAGCGTAAGGAACACTCTTTTTTATGACTTCGACTTTTTCAGGAGAACTGTTGTTGGAATTTGTTATTGGAACTGAAATAGAGTAATTTAACAAATAATATACTTTATTATTAGATAAAAGTCTTCCTATTTTTTCGTTTTTTCCCTTGCAGCACTTTAAAAATATTGTACAATCTCTTGTAAAAGATGAAAGAAATATGTACAGACAATTATATTTTGCCAAATTTAGTACTTTATCTTGAAAGGCTAACGAACAAGATTCTTCCTACCTTCTCTATTAGGAGAAGTTGTGAATGATTGGTTAGTAGAGCTTGATTCCAGACCAGGCAGTGAGGAGGTGACTTCAAGGTGAAATGTGTTAAAAACCAGAATTTTTTCAATTAATAATACATCATGTGTAGTTCATTTTTCCCGTATAAAAGTAGGGAAGGCAATTGGAAAAATTGTTGTAACTGGTAGTCATATTTTTTTCCCCCAAAAGAGTATAACCGAATATCAAACAGATACTTTTTACCTTTTATCATTACTAGTATTCAAGAGACATTAGTAAAGAACCTAATTGCAAAAATAGAATCACATTTACAATTCTCAATGGTTTCACCTCCTCCAAATATATTTAAACAACCACTAATGATTACAGGCGACTTTGCAAATTATTCTCATGAAATAAATTCATCCTGTCGGTGCCTAGAAGGTCAAAAACTACTTTCCTGTCAAAAGTAATTATTTGTTAGGAAATTAAAGCTAATATTACCTCGTCATTGGTCGTTTGCAAAATTATTTCGTTAAAACAGATTCTGATTGTACACACAAGTACTCTGAAGTTGACGTCAAAAAGATGCTTGAGTTTCTGATTGACAATATATATATATATATATATATATATATATATATATATATATATATATATATATATATATATATATATATATATATATATATATATATATATATTATCCCATGTTTACCCCTTTATCCTGTGGATACTATGACTCATAGGATATTTTTTGATAGGCATATCCCACACTTAAGTGCAGTTATGACGTCACAATGGTTTTTGTGTTAGCGTGATGAAGTAAAATAAAGTGGAGTAACTTACTATATAAAACAGTGTATAACATCGGTTGTGAAGCATTAAACATGGGATAAAAAGAATCTCACATGTTTTGTAATTGGATATTATTTTTATCCAACTCGTTGTGCGTTTTTATCCCCTCTCCAAGGCTTGGGGATATAAAACACATCTCTTTGGATAAATATCATATCCAACTACAAAACATGTAAGATCCTATATATATATATATATATATATATATATATATATATATATATATATATATATATATATATATATATATATATATATATATATATATATATATATATATATATATATATGGTTTTTGGAGACCAGGTATTCCAACAATCTATTGGAATTCCCATGGGTACAAATTGCGCTCCGTTATTAGCAGACTTATTTTTATATTTATATGAAGCAGAATTTATGCAAAATCATGCCAGAAAAGAAGAAAACACTTGCTGTGACCTTCAACTCGACATTTAGATATATCGACGACGTATTATCAATTAATAATGGTAATTTCCATTCCTACGTCGATACGATATGTCCTGGTGAGCTTGAGATAAAAGATACCACAGAGTCCGCCACTTCTGCTTCATACTTGGATATTTTACTTGAAAAAGACATTATGGTAATCTAACAACCAAGCTATATGATAAACGTGATGACTTTAACTTTTCTATCGTCAACTTCCCCTACTTATGCAGCAATATACCTTCATCACCTGCATACGGAGTATATATATCTCAGTTGATTCGATACACATGAGCATGCTCTGCGTATGAACAATTTCTTAAACAAGATAAATTATTGACAAGCAAGTTGATGAAACAAGAATATCAGCAGTCTCATTTAGAGTCATTTCGTAAGTTCTATGGTCGATACAATGACGTTGTCAGCAAAAACCAATCATTGATCATTGAGTCAAATACTGACTGACGTTTTTCATACCAATTGTTAGTCCATTATTTATACACTGAATTGACGACGGATTTTCCCCGTTATTTCCTGATCATGACAAGGAGCAGGGGATGCTTACTCCTCCATGGCACCTGATCCCACCTCTGATGTTTCGGGGGTCCATGTTTGCTCTGCTCTTATTTTGTATTGTTTTATGGACTTTGATATTGAATACTATTCGTTATCTCCATATCCATCTTCCCGCCGAAGGGAATTTATTAATAAACTAATTGATCTCATTGATCTAATTGACCTTGCTTTCTGATCGGTGGACTATGGTGGCATATTTATGCTATCAACATAATTTTTTGTCAACATAGCAAATCATGTCAAGTCAATATAAGTTAGGCCTTTCAACTAATTTTTCAAGTTGCACATATGGTAAAAACCAATGCAGGGATTGATTTATAGGTACATGAAATTATCAAAAAAGATGATGATTTACGCATACCTTTAATCATATCATTAAAAAGTTTAATTATTTGTAGTTGACTACTTTGATGTTGTGTTTTAAGGACAGGTGTGAAAAATGACCAACTAAGTGCCGATTCTTGAGTTATCTTTTGTAGAAATGACTTATAGGCTGCTCCAGCATTGGTATTGTTATGTAAACAAAAGGGTTCCTTACATTGTTTTGTACGCAAATGTGTTGACCAAAAGAAGGAAAATCCTGAAATATAATGTTATGCTTTTTTGTGTGCGCACTTTTGCGCTTCTTATATTATCTTAGTTGTGTTACTAAGCAAGAAGAAGAACGACCGACTATAAAAATTAAATTAGGTTAGAACTAAGTACGAGGGTAGACTTCACTTTTTATTTTAATTAAAAAAATTACTTAAATGTAATTAAAAGGTGTCCGCAACTACATAGTAAATAAGTTTAACATTAGTGCTAAATTTTAAAACCACTGGATTCTACTGACAGCAAAGAAATACTTGGAAAATGCTTAAAACTGACTTGTGTATAAACATATCAATACCTCGGATCTGAAAGGCCTTGATAATTATCTCCTCAAGCGATGAAAACTTTCAGGTTTGTCGACGAACACCGACTTTATATCTTGTCCCATCAAGATAAGCTATCACATTTTGCTGCAATAGCTATCTTGAAATGACGAGATAACTTGTAGTACAAGATAAATTATCTCTTTTTGTCGAGATAGCTATTGCAAAAATATAATGGCTTATTTTGTCTATACAAGATAAAAGTCGGTGTTTGACGACAAACCTGAAAGTGTTCATCACTTGACGAGAGAGTTATCTGAACTTGACATGATATGCTATGTTGACAAAAATTATGTGGATGGCATAAATATGTCACTATAGTGGACACACACACAAGCATACCCTCCTATAAACAGACCAAAAGAAAGTCTTAAGATGTTTGAATAAAACTTTTTGTACTGTTTGTTGTAAAATTGCCATTTTAAAGCTTGACATCTGCACATGTGTTGAAAGTGGCATTTAACGAAATAAATTGAGCATTTTTTCATAATTCATTTAAGTGAACGATTGTCAAGTTGAGTGGTTTTATTCTTAAAAAATAAAAAAAGTACAATTCTCTGTCATCCTTGGACCTTCAGTGAGGAGTGGCATTCTCGAAGCTACGTAATTAAAGTCTCTTAAATGGCGAATAAATTCTCACTTGTTTAGATATTAATAACAATAGCAACTTTAAATTGATGTTAACAATGATGAGACAACTTAAGCCCCACTCCTTTGCCGTACGAAACGTTGTCATTGGATTATTGCTACACTTGTTGACATTCACTGGAATTTCTATCCCATGTATATTTCAACAGTGAATGAAAGGCTGTGTAAATTTTACACGCTAATTATGTAACGTCGAGAATGCAACGCCCTACTGAAAAGTCCAAAGATAACAGAGAATTGTACTATTTTTTAAAAACAAATCTCGATTGAATGGTTTAAAAAAAAAATTCAATCGTTTACTATCTTTCAAAACCGATTGGTTAATGGCGTTGGTGAACCGTTAATCGAACCTATTTTTCAAATTGAAAATAAATTTGATGCTTGGATAAATGAGAAAAAAAATGTAGAATGTTAATCCTTCTCAAATAGTCAGTCTTATATGTACATGCAGAGGAAATAAATTTTTTTACATTTTAATGACAAAATACAATAGAACGTACATCATACCTGTATTACTCGAAAGAGCAGTCGATGTCTCATAATTAGTATCTGGCGATAAGGAGGAGACTAGATAAGGAAGTATATTATATTCTTTAATTTAAATAATTTCATATAGTTAAAGTAAGGATGTAAAGTACTAAATATTGATTAAATGAATTTTGTATAATTCTTAGTTTTGTATAAAGGATTATGAAATAAGAAGCAGGCTTAAACTTAGATTATCAATTTGATCATCATCGTGCTTATTTACAAAATCACATGCATGCAGGTATGTGCACTAACTACAGTAACTTCAAATTACTCCATAATTTCAACTCTTAATTCCAATTATTTGGAATTATTTCATTTCGAGATTAAATCAAATGAAGGACATATTACATACCTTCAGTAGATGTGTAGTTTGTCTCTAGAATAATTACAAGTAAAACAATATTATCACAGATAATTCAATTTGTGCCGCTATGAGAAATATATTATATTTTACACCTTAGGATAATTCCGCAGTCCGCAGGATATGCGACCCTATCGCAGCGCAATTATCATACAACCTTTCTTTGCGAAATCGCAACCCTTACTTTTCTTGACAGAGAAAACCAATCAAAATCCTTGATTTTGTAGCGCTATTTTTGTTAGCCTGGTAGTGCGTTGAAAAAACCCACCACCTATCCTTTTTGGGGTTTTGGTTTTATATTTTTTTTTTTTTGCATGTTACTCCAAAATTGTATTTTTCTAATAATTTGTCATACGTTTCTTGGATTGGCGCAATTGTTTGGACGCCTCCAAGGATTTACTCATTTATGTTATATTTTATGCATATTTACACATGTTACATGTACTCTGATATGTTCACTGCATGTGAATTTCTAGTCAGTCTCAGGGGGATCACACTAGTACCTTTCACCTATATACATGTAACCTGTATTGTTTAATATTAGGTGATCCCTCTTAATGGTTTGTTATACATTTTACTTTATGTCATTGAATTAAATGACATATTCGACAAAACTGCATATCTGTGTTTGGTTATTTTTCACTGCACTATCAGGCTGATAGTGCAGATATTTCTCATAGGAGGCATAAATGTATATTAAAAAGTGCGTTAATTTGATCAGATATTTTTATTCATTGTTTTTTTTAAATTCCACTACTTTGGCTACCTTGGCTACTTGATCAATACAAATATGGCTCACAGAATGTGAGTGATTCATCGAGGGGTATGCTTAATCCACCTGGGCATCTGATGTAACCTCGAATGTTTCGAGGAGGGTTGTGTTTTCCCTATTCTTGATTCTATTTTAAAACCTGATATATGCGATTGATCAAAGTTTGTTATCTTCATCTTTGGTGTACACAGAAAAATATAAAAATCCATATAATTTGTCATATCAGCCCGAGGACATATGAAAGGAGGTAAAATGAGAGACTCTGAGATTTATCTTTTTTCTAGATATCATGAAAGAAAACTATTACAGTGTACATATATTGCATATCAATACAATGTTGTAAAATACCACTAAATTTTTCAAAAAACTAATCAGAAATTGTTAGTTTTAAAAGTGAATGATCTTTATGTCTTTGATTGAATATATTATCTAAGCATTCTGCGAAATACTATATGTATTTTCAATATTATATATTATACTTGTAATGGAGCTTAGTCAGGGCCCCATCCCTGGTAGCTGCCAGGTTATTTGTTTATATAAAAATTCTTAACGAATAGGATCTGGGAAATAAAGATTTGAAAAAATATCAGCTCGAGTGGTCCCAAATATATTTTGTTCCGCATATACCTGCAGGTGATATGCCGGCGACAACAAGGCATATAAACACTATAATCTCCTCGGTCTTCTTCCTTGTCATTGCACCGTTTGATATAATGCTGGTTTTCATTAGTAAACCGTTATCTGCAAAAAAAAATTGAAATTAAATAATATTGTAAGGTTGATTCATAGATATATTTTGCGTATTGCAACAAAATACATGTTACATCTGGTACGTTTAGAATTTGTATAACGATATAATTTTATCTTGTCGATTATTAAAAGAGGTAGGTTAAAGGAAGTCGGCTTTAAGAATGGTAAGATTTTCCAGGAAGCCTCTGAGAAAAAATTGTAATTTGGAATTAGTAAAGTATGTAATTAAAAAAAACTAAATGTCAAAACACAGTAAAAGCTGGGATATCCATTTTACTTGAATAGTCTATAAAAGTAATATTTACATTCAGTATAATTTTCCTTAAATCCATTAGAAATCCACGTCGTTCAAATTTCTATAACACACGCGAAACCTTGTCACCGCGCGCGTTAGAATACACAGTGGGAACTATATGCATTTTCAATACTCTAGAAACACCAAAATGTAAAATGTTTTATTTCAATTTAATGAAAAACTACAACCCTGAAAAATTAATGTAGAACTTAACGTAATGTGCGTTAAGAATTAATTTGTCACTTTTTTAATCGCAATGTTTGTTTGCGTAATTTAACTTTGCAACGTCACTTAACGTCATCTGACGTCACAAACGGCTCTTACGTCTATTAACCACGTTAGTTTTGAACGCTAACGCGCGGTATTCAATTTGTCGGCACGGCCAGGTGTGTTATAGGACCGAAGACAGCCAAAAATATGAGTTCAATGCTTAATTAAACTTTCACATGCACTTCTTTATTTTAATGATATTTTTTCTTTGACAATGTCATTGATCTATATATCCTTAGGACAGTATTAATAAGAAAATATATATTTAAGGAATAACTGTCTTATTTTTCGGTTCATGATGTGATCAATCAATTGGGTTGCATGACAATGTCATTGATCTATATATCCTTAGGACAGTATTAATAAGAAAATATATATTTAAGGAATAACTGTCTTATTTTTCGGTTCATGATGTGATCAATCAATTGGGTTGCATGATAATTTGCATAAACGCCTTCGGCGTTTATGCATGAAATTATCACGCAAGCCAATCGATTGATCATCTTCATGAAATTGAAAAAATCTGACAGTTATTCCTTATATTTACATGCTTTGATTCCGCCAATCCACGTGCTCCAAGCTCTGCTTCTGTATAGCTGTTTGTTCCGCCCTGCACGTGTTTTTTTTGGAACCGCGCCAATCCATTGATGGGGAAATAAAGTACATTTACAATTTGTAATTTTATCTCGGACAAAGACATTGGAAATCTAAATATTGAAAGAGAGACACGTACAAATATTGTATATGTTCTAGATTCCTAAACTAACTTGGTCATAAATGTGAGTCTTGCCGACCAGGGAAACAATCTTTGTTACATTTCCGTTTGGTGCTTTTACCATTTGAATAAATGCAAAATAAGATATGCATTTTTCACTTATCAGTATATCAAATATGATTCTTACCTTGAATCCCAGTTGAGAAAAATTTTGAACACGTTATCCACTTGTTGAAGCTGCCATTCACGGTAACTTTCTAAATTAAATTAAAAGACATGGATCGACTTCTTCCTAGTTTCGACCGTGTTTAAAATTAGTGTGATGGAGGAAGGAACCTAGTACCGATACATATTTAAATATATTTAAAAGTACGTACAACTATTTCAAATAAATTTCTCAAAACTTGAAACCGGAAATTGAGAAAATTGATTTATATTCAACCGACATCCTCTTGAAAATCCTTGATCAAAATCCTTCCTTCATGGCATGCAAAAATAGATTTTTTAACCTACTTTTTAAAACAGTAAAATTATACATACACTATATCTTGAAATAACTTTCAACTTTCTTTGCTATTTAGGCACCTGATCCCATGTAGAATAAACAACAACAATTTTTAGAATAATAATTGTATTTATGTATTGAATGCGATAACTTAGTTGGGGGTTTCCGGGAGGATTAATTTTAGTAAGGCCTATTTTGTTTTGATGTGCCATCTTTTTGCTAACTTTTTCATATGATGTTTTGATTGTCTTGTCTTACAGATACTTTTTTCTAGTCAGTTTTGGGGGATCAGACATTATGATATTTTACGTAACTGCTAATCAAAGCTTGTGAATCTGATCCCCTTCTTGTTTCTTAAATTGTTCACATTTATACCGTCATTTTAATAAATGACATTATTCATCTCTATGAAAGTGTTTTATTTGACTTATACAAAAGTAGCAAAAACAAGCTGCGGTGAGCTTGCCTGTAAGCATAAGAATACATAAAGAATTTTACTTCCGCCCTCTATTTTCTCCCACTTCCTGTTTCCACTTCTTGACGATTCTAGATCTCACTTCATATCTTCATATCCGGTTCTGCATTACTCTTCCTTTTCTTTTTGGTGTTCTTTCTTTGCTTTTCTTACTGTGAGTCTGATATTGTTCCATGGGGCTTTACAATGTGCGTTCTATCTATAAACTTTCCTATTTGCTATTCCTTAGGCTTTATAATTACAATTCTTGAAACATATTCTGTGTTTGTAAGGATTATTATTATTATGAACGTATAGTTCAGATAAAATGGAATTTCATTCTGCAATTGGTTACCAAACTTATTTATCTAGCTCGCTTTCTATATATGGAGGAATTTTTCAAATAATAATTATGTCAATTTTAAATACATTTGATATCCCCCACCAATCAAAATGAATGAAATTGAAGTACCATACATATATTGGTTTTCTTTACTTCATAAAAATTATCTAAAACAAAGATACAAAGAGGATTCTTAAATATTCTACCAAGTCTCTTTCTTTACTCCTCGCTAAGATATTAACAATAATCAAGGAGAACCTTCGGGTGGTTGTAGAACAATATAATCAGGAAGTAGTGTAAATCTGAAGTAAATATAAAAAAAATTCCAGGTAAGTTTTAGAAAATTTTAAATCACAATATGTTGTCAAAATCAAAAACAGTAAAACGTACATTTTCTCAATGCATTATACAAACTCTCCACATGATAAATTAAAGTCCGGGGTTTTGGCATCATAGACAGCTGATTTTTCAATAAAAATTGAACTTGTAAATTTACAAACCATTTGGATGATTTAAATTAGTCAGATTTTACACACAAGTGCTCTAAAGTTGACACTGAAAAGATGCTTGTGATTGTGATTGGCAATTTAACTTTTATAAGAGCGGAAGACATCTATACAATTCACTGAGATATCAAAATCATTTAGACAAAAATACTTAATATAACGCTGGTTATTTAAGTATAGAGTAATTATATCATATAGTGATGCAAATGTCCTAAGTGTTAAAAAATATTTTGTCAGGTCACCAATCAAAATAGCTAAAGATGGAGACAAACTTAGTGCAATATGTAACTTTTTGTGATATCGCGATGATTTCAACTCTAATTTAAGGATACTAAAGTTTTTTTTCTGAATTGTCCGAATTTCATTATTACAGAAACAACATTGTTAGCGGATTCAACACCTTATATAAAGGCAGAATAAAGAACTACATGTACTGCAAGAAGTGATTTATTTGAATACATTCCAAATCAGAATGTGGCCCTATCTTTATAATTTAAACATTTTACCCTTTTGTTTTCATTTGGAAGACCTTTTGAAATAATTAATTTTGGTTGTAACGCTTCATTTGATTGGATAAAAAATTAATCAGTATATAATTTAATTTTGTTTGTATTCTCGCCTCTCATTGGTTGAATTCCAAAAAGGAACGCAAAACATTTTGTATAATCTGGTTTGGTATGGGGACACACCCCCTTGACGACCAGCTTAATCATCATATCCATGCAATCCCCTCATTTCAAGTCCTCGGAATCCATGGAAAATTCCAAATTTAATAAATGTACCTTCAACTTTAAAAAAATTACTCGTTCTTACCTCATGTAAACAAACACCATGGCTGCTAGATCTTTGTATCAGTTATTACCTCCCCTCGCTTCAAATCACTTCCGTTACTACGGTTGTATTATTGCGCGGTAAATTTGAACTTATAAAAAGCAACACAATTTTACATCAAAAGTTGTTTAATTGTTTTAAAATTAAATTATAAGGAATGAATTTAATTCTTGACCATATTATCGAGTATAATCTGGTTTGGTTCAACTGTAAAAAGCGTAAACTGACCCAAACCAGATTATACTCGATAATATGGCCAAGAATTAGAGTCATTCCTTAAATAATCTGGTTTGTTTACGTCACAATGTCTTACGTCAAAATCGCATCAATCCGCTTGACGTCGTTTAAAATATGAACAATTTGAAGACGTTTTAAAGAGAGAAATTGTCTTGTTTTATATTCTTAATGATTGAAAATTAAATTATAAGGAATGAATTAAATAACAACCCAAATTATACTGCTATAACCTGGGTTGGAGCAGTTTACGCTTTTTTATAAAACTGCCCCAACCAAGGTTATACAGTATAATTTGGGTTGCTATTTAATTCATTCCTTAAGTGTTAATTTAGCTAAAAAGAAAAACAATGATGCTTTTTTTTTTTTATAAAATATATTTGGTAAAACAAGTTTTCTGGGATTCTAAGAACAAAATTTTCGGGTGAGTAGCGGATTGTCCGATTAACAGTGAGAGTTATTCCTCTTAACCAACTATTCTCATTAATACAGTAAATAACGTTATAAAGGAAATGAAATGTCCACATATCTCACACATTTTTTAATTATGAGCGAAAATTCCTACAAAATAATGATGCAAGTTATAATGCAATTTCTCAGAATAAATTTATATTCTATTTATTTAGTAAAATATTCCTTTCCTTGCAACATACAAGAAAAATATTGGTCATCTTATGAGCAGATTGTCGTTTTCTTTTTATCTTTATGCATCTTGGAAGCAATGTACGAGTACTTCATGTCTTATGGGATTTCTGCTATATATTTATAAATGAATGAAGAGGTACTTATACTTTGATATTATTCCTAACGTAACACTACTTATACCCTCTTGTCACGTAAATTATCCTGAGATAGACATATATATGAACATTGATATCTCACTCAGAGAGTTTTGTGGAAACAAAGTATAGTCATGGTTTATATCAAAAAATCAATTATAAATTGATGTGAATTCCAACCAATAGTTGACTCGATAAATCCCAGTGATTTTGAAATAAAACATACTACAGAGTCTGACACCAAAGTTTTATATTTGGATATTTTAGTAGAAAAGGAAGTAAGGGTGATCTAACAATAAAACTTTAAATAATCGTGATGACGTTAACTTTTCAGGTCAACTTCCATTCCATATGTAGCAGTATACCCTTATCACTGCATGTATGGTTTATGTCTCTCATTTTATTCGATTAGAAAGAACATGTTCTACAATCGAACAATATTCAAAATGATACAAGTTACTTACAAACAAATTTATGAAACAAGGATAACAACAGACATCATTTTATAAGTTATTTGGTCGATACAATGACCTACTAAGCATTGAGTCGAAGCTCATTGACGTTTTTTATCTTAAAGTTTGTTGTAAGGTCATTTTATTAGAACACTGAATTATATTCGGATTTTTTTCGCTTTCTCGATTACAACACAGATCATATAGCGGATGTGACTGGTGGAAGGGAATGTTAACTCGTCATTGGTACCTGATCCAACCTCTGATGTCTTCGTTCGTTCTGCTCTCGATATATTGTATTGAATGTTTGAGCTTGATTACTGATCAGGATCAGTACCTCTATTTTTACATTAGGGAATTTTAAAATAAATAAAATCTGCAGATGAATACCTTTTTCCTCAACCCTTGAAGACATTATGTGCAACTTATTTGGGTGGTGGTATATTATCAAATTAGTTAAGTTTTAAGTAGAATATTTTCAATAAGTCTTGTAATCTGGATTATTTAAGAGTTTGTTTCCGGCACAATAATTAATTTCTGATGGGATGGGAACAGATGTGGAAATAAAAGTTGGCCTTAAACAAGTACAATTCAAGTACTGGAATTAGTCATTTCAGCAATGGGTTTAATGTTAATTTTACTTACAGGATGTATCCCAATCAATCAGATGATTACAAAAAGGAAAATAAATATCACACACTTAACTGGATAAAATATAATTATAATTTTTGTTGCCTTTTCGTAGTTGCATGTTTTCGTCATTTTGAATAGAGAAGCAAACACACTATAATTAATATATGGTATTTACCAGGTATGTATGAACATGATTTCAAACTAGAAATACTGGAATTAATCTCATTAACAATTACTATAAAACATCTTAATTTACAGAATAAAATCTAATTTAGAAAAGACTCCACTCATTTAACTCGCAATGAAATTGAGCAAATCAGGAATATTTTGAGGCTTCATCAACAGCTTCAATCTTCTGTTTGAGTTATAGAGGATTTTCAATGTATGTTATGCTTAAGCCCAAATCATGCAATATATCTCTGTATTTTTTAATCTATGCGATATTTTCCACTAATTAAAGGATCTATAACTCTCTATCCTGGATATGATACGTCCTATATGTGCTGGTGTCTAGATCATCTATTTTATTTTCATACAAACCAGATCTGACCGATGGGGAATCGGATAGAAAGCGTTATTGGCCATTCTGGCGGTTTTATTGTGAATAGGCTGCCAGAGAACTTAATTACTGGCAATGTCCTGACAAGATTGGTTTCTCTATTTAATAAGCCTGCTGATTGATATTTCCCCTCACCACCCTTCCACACAATCTTCTGCATCGGAAAATAGAGAAAAAAAGTGCTTTGACTTTTTTTGGGATTTCCTAAATATATCACACTTTGTATGAAACCTGTTA